ACGTTGTTGACGAGGTACTGCCAGGCGACCGGCAGGCGAAAAATGTTGAGTCCGTCGGTTTTGGTAAAGTGCGTCATTTGGCTGGCGCCGTCGATGCCGCCGTATTGGGAGAGGGGTGGGTCGATGGAGGGAATGGTGCAGGTGCCCTATAGTAAGCGTTTAGCTTGGCAAAGCTGGGAAACTAGATGAGAAGGCGGATGTACATCGGTACCACAGCCAAAATCGAATCCAGCGATGTTGACACCTGCAAACTTGACACCAGCAGCGACAGTCCGTGCTGCGCCAAAAGCCACAATCGAGCCAGCGAGAAGCTTTGAGATGGAATGCATTGTAAAAAAAAAGCAACGTTAAACTAAAGAATGTGGTAGTGAGACTGAGAGACGGCAACACTATTTGTAACTCAAAAGAATGTGGTGGACGCTGCCGTAAAGACCGAAATGCACATCAAACGAGAAGAGAGACAAAAAGACGTCAAAGGTTGAAGAAGATGTACTCAGTAGAAGAACTACATAACCCGTCTGGGGGCCATCTCGGCAAGAAGAAGGAGAATGACGGATTCGAAACATGGCTCTTTGACATCGCCATCCTTCATCATGGGCGGGGTACATGTAGGAAATTAGATCTGGCCGTCGCGAATATCATAGGATGACATTCCACGTGGTGCAGGGTTTTTACCGTCATTATCATGTCCCTGGCGCCTATATCGTAGTGATAGTGGGGGAGGATGAAACGATTCTCGTCCCACCTAAGGCGATGTCAGCGCTACAGTAGGAGTAAGATCGGCCATTGACCGAATGCGCAGTAGCATCAGCGGAGCACGGGACAGTGTAATATCAGTTAATCGATGTTTGGTGAGGAAAAAGGAGGTTGTGAAGGGAAAGAAGTTTAGTGAGGGGAAGACGTAAGATGTAAGTTTGTTTCAAGTGTTGCCCGTCTTCTAAGCGACCCGCCCCTGTCAGCTCTTGCGCTGCTCTACCACAGACCTCGGAGATTTATTGGAAAAAAGAAGCTGCCACGGGCTATCATCCCCGAGACCCTTACAAAGTCTTCAACCGAGCTGTAAGTTGGGGATGAGACACCGTGTTTCACGGAGGCTCGTCACCGCCAGGTGCATCACATTGCTCACCTGGGGCTTTTCCGATCTTACGCCTCACTGTTAACTCTAGCTGAGCAGTGAGACTAAGTGGTGAATTGCAACTCCAAGCTGGATGGACCTTGATGGCCCGGAGACTATGGATAGCTGCAGGTAGCTGTGGCTGTGGAGACGAAGAACTTTCTCCGCTGCTAAAAGCTCCACAATGTAAGGTACCCAGATTGCAGGACCACGTCTAGCCTGTCGATAACTGGACGACGTCGATTGAGATTGTCCTGAAAATCCTTCGTGATCGTCATGCCGTCCTTTTCTGCGTTCCATGTCCGGGATCCTGCCTGGCATCCTCCTTCACGTTTCGCTGAAACGCATGTTAGCCACATGACGCCGTACTCGGACCGCTCGGCCAGTCATGTATCGTTCATTTTGGTGTATCTGTGCTTCAAAGTGGTACATAATACCTAGTTTTGTTCGAAGAAGGGCGTCCCCGGAAGAGCACCAAAGAACCCCTGAACCGCATTGCCATTACCGTTCCTAGCCTGCGCACCACCCGCAGTTCCGAGACCGGGCGAAGGTATGGGCGTCGAGCTGGGCCTTGCCCATAGCGAATCGAAATCGATCAATTCGTCTGTGCCCGAAGAACCAAATTCAGAGTGGCTTGGAAGCACCGTGTTTGTCAGATCCAGAAGCCCCGAGAAGGAATCTCCTCGTGGGATGGAGGGTCGATCCAAGGTAGCGGGGTCCGATGGATTCGGTATTGTACTGGAAGCGGGAATAGGAGTCCCAGAGGGTGCCATGGTAGCCCCTGGTAGCGGGAGCATGGGACCGAAGCCAGACTCGAATTGAGGCGGAATATTTTGAGCGTCCAGTCCTGGCGTCAAGGTCGGGAGAGGGGTCTGACAGGCAGGGGACTGAAGCTGGACAGCTGACGACTTTCCGTGCCCACTTATGACGTTGCGGAATTCTATGAGAACGTGAGCAGTACGTTTCGCTTGTGGATCCATCTCGCCGAAGTAAGACATGATTGTGATCGAATTAGTCATACATTGCTTGGTCAGTGGGTCCGATGAAGCCGGGCGAGCGAATTCGTTGGAGAAGATGATGAGCGCAGCAGCAAAGAGACAGTAAGTGACGAATGGGTTGATTTTAGGGAGATATTGGCCTTCATACGCATTCTGAACAATGGCAATAGTGTGTGTCGAGGCAATCAAACAGGCATCTGAGAATTTCTCCATTCGGCCTTGAGATCGTTTAAGCCATTGGCCAGCGCCAAGGCGTGTCTGTTGGATTTCTGCACTGAGAAGGTAGAGAAAAAAGGGTCGCGTGAGCAAGATGATCGAATGGCAATAGGCTTGATTGGTGTGGAGAATGGCAATGGCTTGTCTGCGGTCCTGGCGGGATGCCTGACGCCAATGTAGAGCTGGTGAGAGATTCTCTGGCCAGCGCCTGCACTGGTCTGCAAGCTCTTGGGCAAGTTTGGTTGATATTTTACGTTGCAGATAGACTTTTTTGAGTATCAATCCCATCACATGGCAGCTGCGAACGGCAGCTTCTAGCCCAGCCGTGCAATATTGGTCGGAATCGAGCAGTGGCGCAGAGTACAAACCTGACGATGGATTGAGAACCTCTCCGGAGCATTCTTCATCCGCTATTGCCATCGGGCGACCAAGTGACATACTTAGAAAGCGATCCAGAACGAACAACGATCGCCAAAGATTTCGGCGAACGACTTGTTGTTCAGCAGGGAAGACAATCAAGGTCTCTTCACGATGTAAGCCGAGAGTATACGCTGTGCGCACCGCCATGCCTGTTTGTAGTCAGTCGGGAACAGCATCGGACTAGGACAGCTAGGATGAGAAGAGCAATACCAATATAGGCAAATGCCGGGTTTCTCCTCGATCTTAACAGCAGATACAAAGCCATAAGAATCAAAGCTTGTATCGACCAGAGATCGGCATCTTCGAAGCCAATGACAGGATTGTTGATGCTTTTGGCATTCAAGAAAAAGATCTCTGATTGATCAGGGTAATTTGCTTTTAGAGAATCGATGATCTCGGCTTCCCGGGTTCCAGATTCAGGCGTAGCAAATGAGAGTCCAATTGCGAATACGAGGTTGAGGTGACAAAGAAATATATGGTCGACTGAGAGAGGGTCTGAATAGCACCTGTCCATCTTTTCGAGGAATGCTCTCTCGTCAAACACCTCAACCAAAGCGTGCGTCTATGGACGGTCAGTGGCTCATGATGGACTGGCTTAGGTCAATACTGACATTGACGAAAAACGAGTCCACTAAAATCAAGGCGGTCTGCTTCTCAGGCAGCAAATGGGTGAGGACAGTGTCCGGCGGCAATGAGAATGCGGTCTCCTTGATTTTGTGTCGTTCTGGGTCCAAGGTAAATGGCGATGGGCCCACTGTAGTCTCAACGATCATGCGAAGTAGCTGCAAGAAAGAAAGGGTAGAGGCATCGCCAATGTATATCAGTCTTCCCGTGCCATCTTCCAACATTCGGGTCATTGTATGATTGTCCGCCTCCTCCTCCCCAGCACTATTAGACGCATGATCAGAGTGCATTTTGATCTCTGGTATCATTTCGGGTCGGTGTGGGAAATAGCCTATGGATCTGGCAGCATCCCCAATGGACGGTGTGCTAACACGGGGCTGGTATGATTGTAGACCTAGAGGTACGTCTCGGAGGTATTTGGCAGCTGATGGGCTTCCTCCGTTCTGCAGGGAGCCAGGTCTACTGGAGACGTCGCTTTCTCTGATGCGCCGTTTGGCCAAAGGCTGGGTAGGGGAGGTAGCATCATGAGCGTGGTCGGTGGTATTGTATGTACAAGTGAAGTGTTTCCTGTCGCAAGTACTGCAGGGCTGCTCGCCGTCACACTGGTCAATTGTTAGCTATCAATGCTAGAGAGGTTGTTCGACGCGCAAGTGGATAATGATGTAGTGGTAGGATAGCGGTAGCGGTAGTGGTAAATCTATCGGCTGTCGAGGTGGGGGAGGAAGCGACAAACCTTTTGCTTTCTCCGTTTACAACTGTCACACGCGTTGGCGGTTCGCTGTCTCTTCTCTGGGTCAACCTTGGGCCGAGTCATGGTGAATGGTCGAGAAGGTGTAATGGTTGTGTCGTTTCTGGCCCTCACATCACCTACGTTGTGATAGCCAGCAAATGGGTCAAGCGGGGTCGCGGAAGTGGGAGAAGTTCAGTAGGCGCAGAAAGCGTAAAAGAAGATGAGAGAAAGTTTACATATCTGTAGATAGAGGAAAAGTATGAGCGTATGAGCGTATGAAAGTATGAAAGTACGTGTGAAAGAATGAGCCGAATGGACGGTCGTTGTGCGGTAAAGACGGTAAAGACGGCATTCCAGTTGTCCAAAAAGGTTGATCTGATCAACAGGCTACTCGCGGGCAGTCTAAGGTAGCTAATCCCAATGCTACGGGCCCACCCCTCTGGGGCTTAACCCCGCCACAACAAAAAGTCGGTCCCAAGTCAGGGTCGAACCCTACACCTGCAGACACGAGGATCGGCACGGTCGGTCGCTTCTTCGCGCATCCTTGCAATCATCACTCTATCAGTTATCACTGGCCAATCATAATAATCATCAGTTACAGTACTAGTACCTGTAACCTGATCCACAATCCCACATATCGGCACCTCCAAAAGTGCATATTTGGGCAAAATCGCCAACATCGACATGCTAACATGTGCATGAATAATGTAACCTAATGTATGTAATGTATGTGTTCACTCGTACTATTCCCAACTCCTGGCTGGTCCTACCACCGAAACTCCACACTCCAAGCTTCATTCACATGCCCCACATGATACGAAGGCGAACTTCCACCACGAGATTACTCGTATGGGGATGGGAGTAGACAGAGGACCCATGATTCGTTCCGTAATACATATCATACGTCCCGGTAAATCCCAGTGCTGTCATCGCCAGCATATTTCTGGCAAAGTTCCTTACAAAAGCCCAGGGAATGCCTCGCGGTACACCACTGTTGAACACCACCACCATCGTCAACTGCAGAGGTCCCATAGTCATCACGAGGGCTTGCTGAGGTGGCTGAGAGCACCAAGGAGCAAGCGCGTTGAACAAGATAGCATTGTAAAACATTTCGAGAGACTGCGCCGCCGCTGCGATTGGAATGCTGCCGGTTACAATAGTGATGGTTCTGATCCTTAGGTCGTCACTTTGCTCATCGTCTCGTTTGATCATGGAACCTGCCGATCTGAGTGGCACATGATGGCTCTTGTAGCTGCCTTGAGACGATGGATGTTGTGGCTGGATTGTGGGACTTTGGCTTTTGTCCGGACTTGAATGCTGATCACCGGGTGGTAGAACAGAGGCTTGTGCCAGGACACTGAGGAAGAGAAGTACGCTGTCGATATAGAAACCCCAAGACATGTGCATGTCGATAGCCAGTGCCTGCTGTTGGCACCCGTTGCTCTGAGTACTAATAGCATAGCGCAAGTAAACAACCTGCAAATTTGCTACTACTAGTATGAGTGATAATCAGTCGTGTGACCGCGGCTCTACCATACACTGATAGGGCACCACACCACTCAGGGCTTTGTGGAGATGTTCGGTGTACAGTAGGTAGCGAACGGTTAATTGGCGATCTTGCGGGAAGATCCACCTTTATTGGCGCAACAAAACAATCACCAAGCGCATATTGGCGAATAGGACGAAACGAGATGTTTGATATCTCTGAGCTGGTAGTCAAAATTGAGGCGTCTAGTACGGGACTTTTTCTAGCGTGGCCACTTAGCTAAGTATATTTGCGTGTCTTTCAATGGTTTGGAGCGACGAGCTAGTGGCACATTTCCCCAGAAAACGCCAGCTGCTCTTGGTCCCGCGCCTCTGTTTTCCCAGATTTTTGAGAGTCAGGAAGATTTGAAGGCTGGAGTCGGATTTTGACGCCCCAAGCCTGCCTGCCATTCGTTGCTTTCGCGGCACGATCCGCCTCCTCGGCGGTAGAAAAATCGTCGAAAGGATAGCGATGGTTACAAGCGCTTGGATCACCAAAAGAGCTTGATCAGAAGTCAATAATATACAGGCGTATCAGTCTTGTAGGCATCGGCGGGGTAGGGTAATGGTCCTCTGGAGGTAGTATGGGTGGACCAACTGCTGACTAGAACAACAGAAAGTCTCAAATCGCAATCGAGTATTGCTACAGGTTTCAAGGACAAAATCCCATATCGAATGTATTTTGGATACATGCCGCCAGTCTGGCTCAGCTCGATCAAAGTTGCAAAAAGATCGCCAGGAAGTTAAGCCTTCCAGGTCGGACGAGTCGGTGATAAGTTTGCCAATGTTAACTCCGGCCCACACCAGGAGCTAGGACGTGCTATAAAGCTTGACTTGTGTCCAGTCATGGGCACACACGCTGTACGCCAAAAGTTCAGAAAATGGCCCAACGAGAAGTAATCTTGATCACAGGTGCAAATACCGGCATCGGCTTCCAGATCGTGAGGGCGCTTTGCGGCTCTGACAGAGCATACAACATTATCCTCGGAAGCCGTTCACTCGCCAAGGTCGAAGAAGCTATCAGCTCTGCCGTGGCAGAGTTTCCGTCTTCTCGTAGCATCCTAACTCCACTCCAGGTCGACATCGAGCACGGTGACTCGATCAAAAAAGCCTTCGACGAAGTTCAATCCAAATTCGGAAGACTCGATGCGTTGGTCAACAATGCCGGTGTGCATGGCTCGAGTCATCAATAGACCCTTCGCAAGCTGACAAGGTTCATAAAAGGTGCGCAAATCGACCAACAGGTCGCCGCCGGACGAATGACAGAGCGCGAGATGTGGAATCAATCCTGGAACATCAACACTGTCGGGACGCAAATCATGACCTCGACCTTCATCCCCCTGCTCTTTCAAACCCCCAACCCACGCCTCCTCTTCATCACTTCCGGAACCTCCAGTCTCGCAGGGACAGAAAACGTGGCCTTATTCGTGAACAGATACTCCCCCAAGGGCTGGCCAAAGGGCAACTTCGATGGGAAGAGTTTTGAAATTCCCGCATACCGCAGCAGCAAGACGGGCATGAACATGATGATGCGGGAATGGCACCGCATGCTCCATGAAGATGGGGTCAAGGTGTGGTGTATCTCGCCAGGTTTTCTTGCCACCGGCCTAGGTGGAGGTGCCGATTTTAACAGAGAGATGGGAGCTGGGGATCCGTCGGTGGCGGGAAGTCTTATCAAGAGTGTTTTGGAGGGCAGCAGAGACGATGATGTGGGCAAAATTGTTCTGAAAGATGGTGTGCAGCCGTGGTGATCTTCACATAGTCGGCCCAGAGTGACTAACGAACGAGCGAACAAACCGACCGAGCTGGTTTTGCTCGTTTGCTTGGCTTTTTGGCGGCTGGTACTCCGTACGGAAAAGATCCATGTGAGCGCTGCAGCAATAGTCTCAAACGGTCTAACAATCGTGCAAAGACTATCCCACGCCTCCAAAGCTCTATCAAAATGCTTACAGGCAGATGTGTTGTCTTTGCATATTCTGTATCTAAATAATACCTGCCGGTAAAGCCTCCGTGACACTACCTCCTCTCAACGCGCGAGCTGCTCTGAGCTGCACCAGCTGTAACAAATAAGCAACGCTGTCATGAACCATTCTCATTATGGATCCCTGCTAAATTCCATCTCTCAATCCAATGCGCTCGTCGCGCACCAACCCTGCGTGTATTCCCTTCATCAAGCACGCATCAGGATCGTGGTGCCGCGCAGAGGTTCTTCTCAGTACGAAGCCGTTAGTCAATCCCGCGAGAGCATCGTTCTATTCCGGAGCACCCCGACGTCCTCAAGCCTCGAGGCCGTAGTCGATAAGTGTACCTTACGCGGTGAGCGCGCCATCGTTAGGCTCCCAGTCCAGGGGGAGTCCAACTGCCATTGGGTTCTTGTGGAGAAAGTCGACAATGAGCGCATCATTCGTTCGTTCCAAGCAGCGGTACATCACGGCTGATGCGATTTCTCTCTCCAGTCCATCGTGCTTCGTACCATACAGCGCGTGTTCCGTCCTTGGCTGGCCTGCTTTTGTATTTGCTAGTCAAAACTTCTTTCACCTGCCAGTGCTCTTGCGGGGTGGCACCATGCTCCATCACATTTGGCAGTGGTGTCACATCCGCGGTATGATGGTTCGTCTGATCCGTGTAGGTGAAGGCTGCTCGGCCGCCGGCCGCAGGAAATTCGTGTAGAATGGCAACAAAATCAGGCAGATTCGACGTGAGGCTGGTATCCGTCTGCAACCATGACGAATCGATTGATTGAATTCAATCACCGTCGTGTGATACACCTCGCTTGCGCCGCCGTGAAAAGGATTGATACTTCAGCGTCGCCAGTCAGACCGTCATGTGTACCCAGTTGGCTTTCGGGCCTGGATCATTACTCCGTTGGCAGCGGCTAGAATGAAGGGTCTATGAAGATGCATTGCTTAGCGATGTGAATGGATGGCACTCTGGCATTACAGGTACGGGGAGCCAGTGCTGAATAACGTCTGCATCGAGTGTACACATTTGTTTCCAAGGCGATGCCTTGATGTGCCGTCTCCTTGAGCCTTTTTTGATTTTCTTGACATCAACGACTGGTCCGGAACCTTTCTATTGCATCCGTACTACGCCAGACTCAAAGGGAGCGCGGTTACAGTCACAGAGATCCGTGTTGCAAGGACGTCCCGGTGTTGCCAAAACTACTCAAGACTTACAACACGTCTGAGGCCATAGTCTCGATTAGTTAGCTGGGAGTGATGGAAGGAAACGCACACTCTTACATGTCAAACCCCGCGAAAGAGGAACTGAAGGGTGCGGCGGCAAATCCAAACCCCGCGGCGCCAGCCCCTAGAAGCCTTACGGGGACCCCAGGAGCGCATTTGGCTCGAGACCGGCCCCGGGCGCAATCCCCGCCCAAGTGGGCACCCGGGGCCGCTGCAAGACGTGCTGGAGCCTGCCCGGGGCGAGCATCACGCCCGCAAACCCGGGGGGCTAAGCCTTCAAGGAGGCTCGTGATTTTCCACCTGAGATTCGTATTCAAGTATCTGAGATTAGCATGCCATACCTCTCACGTTTTACTACTGACGACATCAAACTGTGAGAATAGTGCAAGATACTCACTGCCCGACCATGGGCTGGACGCTTGTTACGATCTGCTACTTATATCTTGCTTTTTGTATCTTACAGTCACCCTTCGTTGCCTCTTTGGTGCTTCTCAAAGCAGCCCGAGATGTTCCCAATCGTGCGGACATCGCCAAACAACCCTAGACTGCCCTACGCCTCCCTGGTGAACGCTTAAAGCTATCCAACAAATCCTGACGAAGTGAATGAGACGCAGCCACGAGTCCTTGCTGCCTACGCTGGTGGCGAGATGTGGACAGCGAGATCTCGAGGTCGACTACACTCGAGTCCGCCACTCAATATCTGTAATACTGGCAATCAAAGTCGCGGTCTATTTTGCCTCACCACCCACCCCAGCCACTCATGATGCAGCGAGGAAGTGCATCGGTATTGAACCAATGGTCATCGGACACAATTCCGTGGCGTCGGAAACTATAGAGTTGGTATTGTGAGTATTGGGTCCCCGGTCCTGGATCGTGACAAGGGAATAGACGAGTCCGAGCAGTGTCCATGTGCAAGCGTAAGAGGGGCAATAGTCTTGCACTAGCAATTACCGATTCAGATCTGTCGCTCTCAACAACATGCCCTCCCAACTGCGGCTGCATTGACTCTGATTCACCTGCACGTTGCATTGGGGCGCAATGTATGTGCTGAGTAGTTGGTGGTATTGCTTGCTTTTATGAATGCAGCATTGGGGATCTTGGTGTTGATGAGGGCCGTGTTGTTGAGAAGAGGCGAGGGTTGTGCTATGACAGTGGCGACGCCCAGAAGGGCGAAGAAAAGGTATCTTGTGTACCTGTCGAGAGGGTGAGACAGGTTCGGGTAGTGGCTGAAAGGCTTCGAGAACACCGTTGTGTTTGCAGAAGGGTAGGGTCATAAATTCACTATCTGGAGTTTCTCGGAGTTTCGAACTGTCTTCTGTTGACATGAAGAGGATAAAGATGGATTTGATCTGCCCTCTTAAATATTTCGCCAAAGACCAATATCGCACGAGAGCCGTTACACACAGTAGACAGGGCATAATACTATAAAATGACAGGGGAGAGCTATCTCCAACGAAAGCGAAGAGCATGACCTCACCCAAACATCAAGGCATGGTGGAATGGCTGACAGCCATGAGGACCCAACATGTTCCACCAGCTTCAACATATGTTATCACGAGCGCGGTAGGAAAGCATAGCACATTTAATGTTGCGGGCATGCGAGCGCAGCAGTAGATCTGCGCTAAAGCAGATGTATACATGCTAACAGAACCTTAATTGACGAGTGTGATAATAGCAACACGGTTCAATTAAGGTACTCGTAATAACAGTACTCAACAGCAGGATTGAGCAGGCATGTTCTTCCCCGAACACCTTATATCACAGACATAACGGAGGTATACTCGTACATAGCTCCAGAGACTCCGAGTCTGCGTCATCGATAACCCGACCATGGCTGGCTTTACAGATAATAGCACAAAGGCGTCTCAAATACACACCTTTTACTATACTCTCTACCACTAACTCCCAACGCCTCTTGAGTACGTGGCTGGAATCTGACGTGGCTGCGATACGGCAGAATGTATCTTCGTGAACGTTGCTTGGGGGTGATGTTCCAGTGTATCTTGAAGAAGACTGACTGCTATTGATAATAGCGTGTTTAAGCTAAATACTAATGAAAACACCGGACGGGCGTACTGGCTTTGCCGTTGTCGCATGCGCGCGTGCGAACGGTGAGAACTTCGGAGTCACGCATCCACCGTAGTTCCGCGGTCGGATTCAATAGCCATTTCGATTTCTCAGCTTTGGTAACCTGTGGAGCTGAGAATTTGAGATGTTCGATGGCGCGCTGGTCGGAATGACTGCCGATACCGACATGGGTGGACTTGAACTGGGAAACAAGCCAACGCCTCGGCTCGAAAATTGGCGGATAGCCTTGGGCTTGATTGCTAGAATGACTTGATCAGAGTGACCCTTCTTCTCGATGTTGCTAGCGCGGTCGGAGATGGGAACGGCGACACCATGCGTTTGACGCTCGACTTTCTTGACCATTGTGTTGACCCTGATATTCCACATAGCACTAAGGCTGCGCTCGACTTCAGCCATGTTTGGCTTGCGAAGACCTGTTTTTTTGCACAATGTATGCTGCACAAGTTCAACCATGCCTGATCCAACGACACAGATGGGTTACTTTTTCAGGGCATCGTGGTCTTGTTAGATTTTTTGTAGAAGTGTGGGGAGGAAACAGACCAACTGCAAAAATACGAGGTAAAAAGCAGTGATATTCTAGAGGACTGACAGCAGTACCAAGCAGACTGAAATGATATGTACTTTGATTCGGTTGTTGGCAAATGGATCCAACAGCTCCCATGATCTGTATTACACGGTACCATACCTACCTAAAACATAATTTTAATGTCAGCAGCGACCACGGTACAGTGCGCTGTGCCCGCACCACCCATATTGGGATGTGATTGGATATTAGAGTACACGCCGCGATTCTGTTGTCCCTGGCACAGCGTCTTGTTGCAATTTACTGCTGTGTTAGTAGTAGCGTGCTCTAGAAGTCAGTGTAGAATACTATTGCATAGCAACGAATGGCCTGTTGGTGGGCAAATCTGACAATTAATAATGCCTTCGTCACCTCAATACTCATTTGAGGGTTGGGACCTCGTCAATCCGGTAGTCAATCGAGAAGTAGATTGGGTCGTTGCCTCGTATTTCCGTGTTGAAGTGCCATATAGCTCAAATTCTGACACGCTCGAAAATGTAAAACGAACCATGTTCTTCCCGTTATGTTTCACTCTAGGGATTCGATCTTTCGCCCGGATATGGGGAACACAAGTTCATTCATAGCATCAACTGCGGGTGCATCTGCCATGTTTCGTGCGACGTCATGTCTTTCACAAATCCTTCTCATGGGCCGTGAACCAAGGACGTGAACACGCAGCAGGTCTGTTTACCGCTCGAAAGTGAGGGATTTGAAGCTAAAGTCCAGGCGGAGCCCCAAAGTCCAGTCCGTTTCAACCACCCACGAAAGGACTTTGTATTGTCCAGAGCTTTTTCTGCACTACTGTTCGACCGCGTCCCCCTTTCCTGGTGCCAAGAACCGCAGCTGCCATAAACGCGCGTTGAGGACAGTATCCACGGCATTTCCCCGTTTGTCACTTTCCGCTACCCGAGGTTGAAAAGCAACGGTCAAGAAGGCACAACGTGCTAACAGAGGGTGCGCAAGACGAATGGTACAAACGATGGACGGTTTTCAGAAATCTTTACTCGGTCGAGGAAGGTACTAAGCATGAAAAGGGGAAAGACAAAAAAACAGCTAGTCAGCTTTCGCTCCTTTCTTACTTGCCAGCGTTGCATCTTGGGGCTCTGTTTAAGGAGATGCAAAACACGTCGAGTCTGGGCAATGACACCATAATCGACATGGCCAGACGTGGCTGACGGGCCTTTGCACTGCCGTCTGCGAGCTTGATGGAGACGGCTCTCTATAGATCGATGCTTCTGAGCATAGGTACCTCCATCGCAGTTGCGCGTCGTTGTGATAAAACCTATGATATAACATCCCTGATTGAGTTTCTGTGGTCCTCCCACCTTCCTTTTCTTCTTGCCGTGCTGCGTTGTCCGAGAAAGTTGCTCCTTCCTTCCCTTCTTGAGTCCTAACGTGAACAGCCAAGTGGACCTTCTCCTGAACACTACAAATACCTTTCCTTGTCTCCATTCTTCTTCCTTTCTACATCCTCCTTCTTTACACACCAAAAGGCTTCAACCCACTTCAACTTGTTTCGTTCACTCTAGCCTCTTTCTTCATTTACTTGCCATCATCATCAAGCACACATCATCGTCCTCACATCTGCACAGCTGCTCCATCACCCTTGCTATCCTCTGCAATCTCGCTTTGCAAGCATTATGCACAATCGCTCCAGGCTGGCGTCTCCACTACCCTCTCGACCCTCTGCTGCACCCGCATTTCCCATCTCATACATTAGAATGCTCGCAGCTGCTTGCGTCTGCTGGAAGCCGACGTTGTCAGCCTGGGCATATCTTGTGTACGTCCTCATCTGCCACGTGTTGACTTGCAATGGTTGATGGTGCCTAGACTCTTCAACAAGGCCTACCCTGAGGATGCTCTCCCATCACACATTTTCCACCTGCACAGCACATGAACTCCAGCAGCATACTACTGCATAACAAACATGCCCCAGCTCGCTAACAGCACACACGCTCAAGCTCGTCAGTTGCACACACGCTTCCCCTATACACAAGCCCCTTATGCACACAAGTCTCCAACGGCACGCATACTCCTCGTCACCAGCTGCACACATGCCCACCCTGCGCACATGACTCCACCGCACACACGTCTCCAACAGCACGCATACTTCTCGTCACCAATTGCACACATGCTCCTCCTAGCCAGCACACACATGCTCATGGCCAGCAATTGCACGCACGCTCGGTCTCGCCAGCAACATATTTGCTCCTGGTCACTGCGCATATACTCGAGCTCGCCAGCTGCACACGTTCTTCCCCCGCACACACGTCTCCAGCACCACGCCAGCTCCAGCCGGATCGGCTAGTGCTCGTTGGAGCGTTATATTGGGGGCTTCATCCCTACGGCAAGCCTTTGACCAAGGAGTTGTTGAATTTACTTTAGCTAATCGTGATTAGGTGGCGCGTGCATCACCCTTTGTCATACTCCGATGAACATTGTCAGCGATGGATGAGAAACCAAGGTAGGGTGGCAATGTTTTCTTTGAACCTGGAGTCTGGTTTGAGTTCCTTCCGTGCAGCTAGCGTGGGATGTTGAGTTCGATTCTCATACAAAGCGGAAAATTGGCATTTGTCTAGACCCACATGGTGGTTGCCGAAAGGCGCAATTCATACTACTCAGTGATGGCAAGCTGACCTCCTTTTTTTTATGGACTCCCACTCTTAAACCTCTTCCGGCTCAAGACGCCTCGAAGCTTCAGATCGACGTCTGCAACCACCAGTATGGTCGTCATTCATCAGTCCATACTGCCGGTACTACCATCGAATCCCTCCTGTGTCCGAGGTATTTGTTTGATTATGCAAGCCCATCAACAAAGTTGCTAATATCTCGCAGTAGAGCATTCTCACCTTAGATGCCACCGCAAACCCAAGGTCCAGGGCTGGTACAAGTTGTTCCTCCATCTAGTGGATTCGTTTGAGTAGTTGAGCTTTAGCAGAAGTGTTTTCGGCATCAGTCCAGCTTAGCAGTTTAGTAATTGAAACTGTCGCATCTTTGTTCATCTTTCCACTTGCGCCGCATGAAACTGTCGCTAGTCGTGAGGCCCAAAGGAAACAGTGAGACCTGCAAACATCTCTCACAGTCCTACTTGACAGGCTGCCGAGCCTTTTTAGCCACAAGATCTGCCAGCTCATTGCCAGGTATATTTACATGTCCTGGAACCCAATGGAGTTGTACCTCCACCCCAAGTCGTTGGAGCTCCATTGATTGGTCGATGATCTTCTGCACCACCTTTCTGCCATCAGACCTACCTTTTCCAATCTTAACCAGCGCCACTGCACAATCGGAGTAGACTACCGCGAGAGAACAGGGATCTTGTGGCTTCACTTGTGCACGGTCGGCATGAACTTTCTCTAATGTAACCTGCAGTGCTTGCCAGATGGCCCACGTTTCGGCGTCCTCTTGATCTAGCGCTTCGCGTATGCGATAGCCTTTGGCAGTCCATAGCGAGGCCCAGTACTGCCGATGCGTTTTGTGTACCACTGCGATACCTGTTAATCCGTTGTCGCTCGATACGGCTGCGTCAACGTGAAATGAGTGGCGGCCTGGCTCTGTTCGCAGCATTCCGTCCTTGGCGTGTTCGGAAAGAGCCTGGCTCATGGCGCTGAGTCGATGTTGGATGATTATCAGGCCGGCGAAGGCCTCGGTCTTGGTTGTTCTGGTCTCTGCGCCTATCTCGCTGGCTTGCGTAATGATGATTTGCTCGCACGCGCTGTCCTCATCCTCTTGACCATCATTGTGGATGTCAATGGTTTGGAACGTTTCTGGAAATACATCTGTTCTCTTCGCTCTCTTCAGCTCGCTCTTCATGCAAGCTTCTTCGAAAAGGTCTGACTCGGATCTCTTCATCTGTTCTTGCTCGAATCGTCGCTGCGCGCGGGCGACTATCATCGATGGAGCCAGGCAGGCTTCGAGGCGTAAAAGCCGTTTTGCGAATCGGCGTACGGTCCTTTTGGTGGCGTCTTTCCCTTTTCGTAGGGGAGGGGGGATTGGAACTAGATACGGAAGGAGATAAGAGGGATATATTGAAGGGGAAAAGGGGGGCGCGGAGAGGACGAATCCGATGGAGGTAGGTGAGTGTGGGGATGATGACCGGATGGGTGAGGTGGTGCGTTCCATGCCGTTGCATTGAGTCGATAGGTGTTGTGGAGGGGACGGAGATGTCTTGGTTTGAGGAGGAGCTTGATGAGCCGAGTCACTTGGAAGTGGAGTGATGGAGTTTTCGCTCATGCTGGGCGTGACGATCGCCATTGGCGGGATGAGAACCTCCTGGGTTCTTTCTGGTATACGAGTCTGAACGGGTATACCCTCACGTGTTTCGTCCAGCCGGTCATGTGCTTTGACATCTAAATGCTCGGGTGCAGGCCATTCTTTGTCTGGAATGTTGGAAGATAAAGGGCATCTACGCATTTTCGTGGTGGTGGTGGTAATATTGTTGACTGCTTGAGGTCCGTAAATTCTCGCGATTCTTGAGTGGCCGTCCCTTGCTAACAAAGTCGGCAGGGCCTTTTGGTACAGACCCTCGGAAATATTTTAGGGATGAGATTTATGAGTCCATTCATCAAATAATGCGAATATAATCAAAGGAACTGACAAACTATGTCATGTGGAGGCTTGGTCCTGAGTCACAGCTCAAAAGTGCTCATCAATCATACTAATACAGGTGCAGGTCCTCGCTATGCTTAATCACTCCATCTAAAATGAGGACAATGTCAAGCTTAGTGTTGGAAATAGATATGAAGGATTGATTGATTAACTATAGAAAGGTATGTAGGCTACTTATACCATATAAAGCCCATGCTAATTTGCCACCTGATTACCACCATGTGGGGTA